AACTTTGAGAGTTGAGAGTTGAGACCACAGTTCATAATGTCGTCTCTCTTTGTTGCGCTGCCAGGATTCCACCATTTCACCTTTCAGGCCATGAAACAATTGACGCTATTGAAATTGCAGGTGATTCTTATGCGGCCACGCCTTTCAATTTCCGGACTGGGTCCATAAATATGGCCAGTTAACTAATGAGATAATAATTTGAAGGAGGAATAGATGGATTATGAAGAAGGGAAATGGAGCCCGTGTTCCCTCTAAGCCGGATGGGTGGGTTCTCAGTTGCATCCCAAGAATCCTAACCATTTTAGATGGGTTGGAACATATGCCACAAAGTAAAATCACCAAGTAAAGTTGAACAAATGGAATTGTTTGTTAACGGATAAATGAAGAGCGTAAAGTACAATGGATTAAGCATATGGTACCTCTTTATAGAGCTTGATGTTACATCAACAAATTTTTTTTGCCCAAAATAAACTAACCCTCATTCATGTTTATAATTTTGTAAAGATTAGTTATACGACGCGCGTTGTGTGAAAAGAAAATGCCCAATATAATTTTAAGTTAAAATAATATTAGTATAGGTTGTTGAGATTTATCAAGGACACAACACAATAGTACAATAAAAAAATGAGCTTTTTGTGAAATGAAAATGCTTTTTGAGACTTACTATAAAAAGACTTTGGCCTTGTTTGGTAAATGGCTGTTAGCTGTTGCTGTTAGATGGTTGTGTTAGTTGTTTCCTAATAGTTGATTGTGTTAGCTGTTTTGACCGACTGATTATGTTAACTAGTTATAAATAATTGTTTGGTAAAATTGATTGTTTCACAATGACTGATAGAGTGTAAAAAGACATATAAAGACATGATAATACTTATTGTAATAAGTACTCCGTATTTTATCATTGTTAATAATGAAAATTTTATAACTACTCTTACTTCATAGATATAAATAAATCATTTGTATATTTGTAATTTTTAAAATGTCTTGAATAAATTCTATTTTAATTCAAGAGAAAAGGCATAACTAATACGTAGTAATACTCCCTCCGTTTCCAAAAGAAAGTCACAGTTTGATTTCACTGTAGAGTACATTGTTTAGACACTGTTTGGATACTGTTTGACACTGTTTGACACTGTTTTGATGTAGATTTCTTTGCCAAATAAGGAAACAAGGGAAGTGTGACTTTGTTTTTTAAACATCCAAAAAAGGAAAGTGTGACTTTGATTGCGAAACGGAGGGAGTATAAAATAATACTTCATCCGTCCCCCTAACTTTGTCCCGTTTTACCTTTTTCGTCCGTCCTATTAAGTTTGTCTCATACCATATTTGGTAATATTTGAGTGGTTATAATTCATTCTTACTTTATTCGCACTTTATCAATTCAATATCAACCACACAATTCCACTTTTTCTTAAAAACCACACCACATCTCTTTGTCTCAAACTTAGAGGGACGGAGGTAGTATACCGGAGTAATATGTTAGTTAAGCATATACTACGTACGTATTATTTTTTCAAATAGTATTTGGTTTTACAAATTTTATTTAAAACAATTACTTAAATCATTAATTTAGAAAAGGCTAACCCATGCCAAAAGAATGAAACAAAAAGAGAGAACTGCAAAACAATTACTCCGTAGTTAAGTAAACTTTGGCTAACTAAGGAAATAGTTACTTTGGACATTGGAGTCGTATACCCCTGGTGGGAAAATCTGAAGAAGTCGAATAGAAACGCTGCCCTGCCTGCCCTCCTTGACTTCTCCTACCAGCCATTTTTTCAACTTTTGGGACTCAACAAGCCAATCTAAAAAGTCATCTACCTAACATAAATATTGGATGCTTTGACTAATGAAACAGCTAATATTGGTCAAACAAGCTAAAAGCTGATAATCCATTTGCCAAACATACCCTTTATGAGTGATTGACACCCTTTATGAGTGATTGACTGGAGTGTTTCATTAGTTTTTTGCATTTTGTGGTCAGGTTTCAACCAGTGAAATCTAAACTTTGAAGAAACATATTTGCAGATATTTTATATATACATTTTTCCTATGTTTAGGGCCAGGCTTCTTTTAATATACGGAGTACAAGTTAAAATAGCTTCACAACAAGGAACTAACCCTTGAGGAGTTAAAACCAAATCTAGTCATTTGCATCGTCGCTTTGGGTATCATCCATACGTGAAATAGTAGATCTAATCTTGCAGTTCATTGGTGAAAATGAGATATCAAGTGTATCTATATATTCATCCAAAAAAAAGTGTGTGTATATATATATATATATATATATATATATATATATATATATATATATATATATATATAAACAGAATAGTGGTAGGGGATTTGGGCGGGAATACTGTAGAGCATTTAGGGAACTAGTATTCTCACCCGTGCGATGCACGGACAAAAAAATTATTAAAATTTTAGAGCTTAAGCACCTTGTAGTTTAAAGACGTCAATATGACTCCCAAAGAGGAGGTTACGGGGTTCAAACTCATCCGAGTTCAAGAATGTTGACATTTATCAAAGAACAAATACTATAATAAGAGTGTGAGTACATTTTAAAAAATTGACCATTACCGTCTATTGACCAAAAGTTGTGAGAGATTTAAACTCGCCTCGACCAATAGATATTTATTTATAAATGAAAGTTTAATACATCACCCCATCTACCATTTCCAAACAGAAAATATAATGAAAACCGCTTAGGGTATGTTTGGGAGTTGGTTTTCGGAGGGGAGATGAAGATTAATAGCGGTTAATTATCCTCCTTTTCATGTGAGAATTTAAAAAATTGGAATGGATGATTTTGGATTTTTTTTGTAACTCTCGAAAAACCTTTAAAAGTTCAATTTTTAAATACCCCCAATTTGGAGGGTTTTGAAAGGTAATTAATGAAATGATAATTGAAGTTCAATTTAAAATTAATACAATTCAACTATTTGAATTTGTCATATCTCAAAGTGATTTTAATTATAAATTCTTCAATGACTTTCCTTCTTTCAAATTTATTATTCCCAAATACTAAGAATGATTTCCTCACATTCCTCCATTTTTTCTCCAATAAAATATGGAGTACTTCCAAAGCCTTCTTTTACTCTTCCCTCCAAACTCCCAAACATACCCTTAGAGTTAGATTAAAATTTCTAAATAATACGGAGTACTACATATTAAACTTTGAATACCATTTTTGAAAAATGTGAAACCATTTTTTGCAATCAGCAGAACTCTTTTTAAAATAAACATGCAAGGAAAAACTATTTCCCAATGTTACAAATATTATGAATACGGGCTGGTATTTTGCATTGGTAATATCAATCGCAAACTCCTTCAATTAATTTTATGAAAGTTATTCTCACTTATAGATAGAAAATGTTGAATGTCACTAAATTTGAAAATAATGATAGTAAATTTATACATTTCGAGAGATACATTTCGAGAGATGGCAATCAGTACATAACGAAATATCAAATAATTAGAAAGACATTGTTAGAAAAACAATTACCGGCCACAATTATATATTTTATATTGGGCTTAGGATGTTTTTACTTGGACTGTAATTTGCTGGCCTAGTCTGGCCTGGTCTGATCTGGTCTGGTCTAGTCTGGTTTCTTTGTATTTTTATAACTATCCAAGTCTGGTCTGATTTGGTCTGGACTGGGACGAATTACAGTCCAAGTAAAAACATCCTTACTTTTTTTTTTTGAAATTAAAAACATCCTTACTTGAATAATGATATTGCAGGAAACGTTTGATCTCACAGTACTGTAAATATAATACTCGAAGTATCTTTTCATTAAATGGGGTATTTTCATTAAATTGTTGGTTTATTATATACGTAGGTCAACAGTACTATAATAGCAACCCAACATCATCGCCTGCCCAAAAACAGAAGTACATACGCAATAGGGGTTATGGTTTGTAATTAGAGGAAACATTTGTATATCCCGAGCTTCATTCGAAAAATTTTCACCTAAAGATCATGGAAGCCTCTGTATGGTCATCTGTAGTGTAAGAAATTTTCTTGGAATCATGTACTCCGTATTACTAACTACTCCCTCCGTCCCAGGGAGAAGTTCCCGGGAAGATTTTCACACATATTAAGGAAATAAAGTTACTGAGGGGTAAATTTTACTGTTTGGCACTGTTTTCGACACTGTTTGGCACTGTTTCGACACTGTTTGGCACTGTTTTGCACTGTTTGTCATTGTTTTGATGTAGAATAACTTTCCATTTAGGGAAATGAGAACTTTTTGTTGGGACTGCCAAAAAAGGAAAATGAGAACTTGTCCCTGGAACGGAGGTAGTATTTTTTTTCCCTTAAAAATTTTCCCACATACACTTCAGTGACCTTGAGTCAGACTTGTATATAAAAATGACATAACCACAGATTGGAGGACTCATCTTCCGTCATTTTTTTGCATTTTCAAACTCTAAATATGACTATTTTCCAACTTCTAATAATTAATTCTACTTAGATATAAAGTAATACTTCTATTTCGGAAATTAATTATTTATTTAAATTATTATTTTATATATTTCCATTCAAATCGTTACTTTTAAATCTTTTGTCCTGATACCTTTGTTTACCTATTTTTAAGATAAGCAATTTTGAAATTTGTGCTTAAGCAAATTAAACTTTTGATTTTATCTAAATTTTTGAAATAATATTATGTATCATTTCTTTTGACATTAATTTTGGAAGTACCACTTGCGCATTGTCTTGTTTTTAAAATTTTCCCTTTCTTCTATTATGTTGCTTAAGTTGCATATTTAAAAATTTTAGTCATATACATAGCTTGAATAAAAAGACAATACTTGCTCATCTGGAATTTTTAAACAGAGTATGTCCAACATATATATAAATGTAAAAGAAAAACTAATACAGAGGAAGGGTGCGACTTTAGTCTTCCTTTCTAAGAAATAAGAATAAACAAAGTATATATTTACTTTTACATTCAATCTATATTATAAAAATTATCTTGATCTAGAAATTATTAACCCAAAACTTTATGCAACCAAACAATTTAGCCCACAATTACGGAATATGAAAACAAAATACCCCAGGCCAGTACTATGTATCTAACAGTCTAACACACTACGTAGAAGGATTTTGGTGAAACCTTCATCTTCTTAGCATCTCTACCATTTGCTTCTTTTCAGCCGCAGCTCTCGAACGCATCTTCCCCGTCGGCTGCTGCTGCTCTCTCAATCCATTTAAAAAAAATACCATCTCTTCTTCTTCTTCTTCTTCAATCCCACTCATAAAAGACAATTTCTTCATGACCTGAGATGATGGATGACCGAGTCGCTTGTGCCAAAAATCCCCTGAAAGCAAATCTGTATGAACTGACTGAATAGTTGCTGAGGCCCGTAAGTAATATAGTCCATTCTCCTGCTCACCCGCTCCAATCAGCTTCTTCGAGTGACGGTCTTGTATAACACAAATATTAGCTGTGAATTGTACAAAACAGTCAAGTGCATCATTAAGTTGAGAAACAGACAGTAAATTGCATTTTAGGCCGGGAACGTAAAGCACACAATCCAATTCAATATCACTGGTCAATTTAATTGACCCTTCCTTGGTAGCGAGAACACTCTGTCCATCAGGTAGACCCACGGTGCAAGCAGCGACCTCTTTAACATTAAACAAAAAATTAAGGTTTCCGGTGACGTGATTAGATGCCCCGGTGTCGATAATCCAACGCATATGATTATCCTTACCACTTACCAGACATGCGTTCTGTAGTTTCCTGAGAATTACCAAAAACTGTCATGAGGGCTTTCCATTGCTCCGATGTGAATCCCGGCGGCGGTGAATTCTGCCCATTCCCAGGTCCAACGTCAGTTTCTACCATGACAGACGTATCTCACCTTGTAGGCTCTGATACCATGATAACATTCATACGATGCAGCGGAAAAAATATGAGAAGAGAATAATCTTGTTTTATTTGTTCATGCTCTATTACATTCGGCCGCAGGGGTATAAATCATATACGAACCCTTCTTCCCTTAGGAGTCTAATAGAAAGAATATACTAGATACAATGTGAAATCTCCAAAAATCATGCGGCTACCAAAAACATACTCCAAGATTAAATATATCTACCAAAATTAAATGTATCTAGAATTTTCTAATTAGTATACCCGTACAATAACTAGCAACAATAGATAAGACTAATCTTTAGCTTCAACATTTTCAGGTAATGTGTATCTCCATACGCAAATGCCCTTCAATATTTAGACAAATGTGTACGTAGTATAATATATCTCATTAAGTTGACATTGTAAATGAGCCCGAATATGTACGTTGCAGAATAATAATCTAAATATTTTAAGCATAAAAATCATCTCAAAACGATACCACGTTTTGTAGTTGATAGCCGCATCCTTTTTTGAAAAAAATATCGAATTCATATGTAAGTATCAATTAATTGCTTTAAATTGAGATTGTCAATCCTATTCAGCTAGAAGAGTCCTCTTCATGTCAGGCCGGCCTGACGGGCTGCCCCGTCCGGCCGAGCCCGTTTGGGCACCTTCCCGGTGGAATTTTTTGATGAAATTTTTTGAGCATGTTCCTCGTCAAGTCTAGTTTGTCCATACCAAATTTCAGCTTAAAATTCAATCGGGAAGGTCGTCAAATGATTTTTGCAAGTTAACTGGTCCGGAAAATACATATTCCGGACCAGTTAACTTGCAAAAATCATTTGACAACCTTCCCGATCGAATTTTGAGCTGAAATTTGGTATGGACAAACTAGACTTGACGAGGAACATGCTCAAAAAATTTCATCAAAAAATTCCACCGGGAAGGTGCCCAAACGGGCTCGGCCGGACGGGGCAGCCCGTCAGGCCGGCCTGACATGAAGTTTCCTCTCAGCTAGAATGTGTTTAGAATATAGTTTTTGAATGAGTATTAAAAAATATGTACTTTGAGCAATTTGGAATTAAAAGCTGCACTTGAGCAAATTGTAATTGAAAACATATTATTACAAACGAAGAACTTGGATTTCTTATATAATCATATTGTTTTTTTCATAAATAGATCTTATTTAGCAAATTATAAAAAATGTAAAACAGATTTAACTTATTGACTTTTGTATTAACTTGAAATTCGTATTACAGAATTTAGGAGAAATTTATACTTCTCTCAATACTGGCTACTCTTTTGAAAAAATACTAAGAAAAGTTTGAATTATTAATGACACATGGAAATTCATAAGGTTTGACTTTCAATATTCTTTGAAAGAAAGAACATAGATTGAGTTACGCTCTATATATGTAGTATTATTGATATGCATGTATTATATGGTTGTGATATACTACCTCCATCTCCTTAACATTGATATCTTTCCATTTAAAAGCAGGTGAAATTAAGAATAGTGAAAGGAGATAAATTATAGAGCGCGTGGTAGAAGATAATGAAATAGTGTGGTGGAATGAATAATATACGGAGTATCAAAAAACAAATAGTTGTAACAGTATATGATTTTCAAAATTATTGAAGGTATAATGGGAAGATATGAATGTTATGGTTGAAAAAAGAAATTCAGAAGATATGAATGTTATTAATTAATATTCAGGTTGTAATTGTGATTTAATAAAAAGTAAGCCGGCCTCTTGATTGAGTAAGGTAAAAGCAAAGCCTATTGTTAAACACGAAAATAATAAAGGTATTGTAGATTTAATATTTCTGCTTATATAGTTAAAGAGAAACAAAATTCATGATTAGTCTTTCTAATCCAACTTTAAATGCTTTTGAGTGATCAAATATTTTGCGGATAACATTGGCACATTGCAATCATATCCAAATTGGTTTAATACTACAAAAAGACACAAATCATGTAAAATACCATATAAATTCTTACGCAGAAGTAAACCAAATGCTTGAAATATGTTTTTAGTAAGAGTAATCAAATATTTTACGGATAACATTGGCACATTGCGCTTTATGTTTTTAGTTAAAGAGTAACAAAATTCATGATTAGTCTTTCTAATCCAACTTTAAATGCTTTTGAGTGATCAAATATTTTGCGGATAACATTGGCACATTGCGCTTTATGTTTTGGTGACAACTCCGGTACCTTTTGAAATAATGAGGTACCGTACCTATTATTCATTTGATTGGACCACATCATTTTATCATTTTTAATTTAGATTTAAATAATTCAACTACAACATTCTCATTGGTACATGTGGACAAAGGTACGGTACCTTAAGGGTACCGTAGAATCTACCTTATGTTTTTAGTATTTTATGTAACTGACTTCCAGGTTGAATTAGAAGTTGAAATATATTACGCATTATTTATATACATAAAGCGCAATATGTTTTTAGTATTTTATGTAACTGACGTTGAAAGAAATATAAGAGAACACATGACCTTGCGATGTGCACGGGAATTTAGTTACCTATCTAGCTAAAACCGACGAATAACAACTCAAATGCCAAGTGACTTACGAAGCTGGTGATAATCAGTGATGTCGAATGAATAAGATGGCAAAAATCGAGACGATTAATCAAAGCCGATCTCAATTTCGTGTGGTGTGGATTTGCCTAAAAAGGATGGATGCCGAGCGATTGATGTTTAGTTTGTAAATTACACCGTACAGCCGGCTGTACCGTGTGCACGGTACAGCCGGTTTTTTTGTTCGCTGTTTGCTGGGATCTCCACCTCCGCCGCTCGAATCTCGTCTCTTTCTTGTCGATGGCCTTCGCTCGTCGATCTGCGTGCGGCGATGGAGAGGCTGTGGATGGGTTGTGCAGATGTTGGCTTTGCTCGGGCTATGGATGGATGGATTGTGCAGATGCTGGGAAGATGATGCTCTGCTCCGGTTTCTTTTTCTCTTTCTATTTTTCTAATTTTCTATTTTTTTTTTTTTAATTTGATAGCTTTTGGGTTAGGGGATACCTAAATTGTACGGAGTACATAGTTTTGAAGATATGAGCATGAACAAATAAAATTTTGAGTATGATATAGTTTTTAAATGAGCCTAAAAGAAATGAGTATACGCCTAAAAGAAATGAACTCACACAAATTAATATCAAACACATTGGAAATGAATTTTATGTTAAAATAAAATGAGTATAACATTCAAAAATGACACTCTTTGGGTCAAGTGGGTACATGGGGTTTATCTAAAGGGCAGGAGTGTGTGGGAGTTTGTCCCACACGAAAGAGATTCACAATTATTTAAAAAGATTGCACTAATCCGAGATGAAATACTCTCCAAATTCCCGGACATTCCGAGCGCTATACTTGGCCTAAATGCTCTTCAATTCAATGGCAAGCTTGTATCCTCCAAGGTTTATGATTTGCTTAGGACTAGGGCCGCCACCCGTGTGTGGATGCCATTTATTTGGAAAGATTACATCCCTCCCAAGTTTTCCTTTATTACTTGGTTGGCATTCCGTAATAGATTAGCCACGTGTGATAATCTTCATAGGTTAGATGTGGATAATACTTGTGTGTTGTGCAAGGGTGGACCGGAAACGGCTCCACACCTCTACTTTGAATGCCCTTTTTCAGGTAAGATCTGGACTCTGATGAAGGCATGGATTGGCATCCCACGGATGATGGGGACCCTAGCTAGCTCGGTCAAATGGATCAAGAAGGAAAGAAGCGGAGCTAATGTGCAAGCCAAGGCTGCTAGGATTGCTTTCTCCTGTACCATCTACTGGATTTGGAGAGTCAGGAATGCAGCTAGATTTGATGGATTTTTGTCTAAAGAGGAGGAAGTTTTTGATAGGATAAAATATGTTGTCTATAAAATTTTGTATAGCATTTATCCTTGTGATTTGGTAGTACTCTGATAACTTTCCGCCCATCACCTTTTTCTGCTTGTGATTGGCCGTGAGGTAGTATAGGGGGGATGCTATGACTCCCTTAGTTTGGCAGGTGATGGGTTATCCAACATTTGGATAGCCTACATTTTTGCTCATATTTTTGCTGTACAGATAAGCTCTTTGACGGTTTCTAATATACTTACATGTTATCGTCGAATTTCTTATACTCATTTTGTAAGTTATGCATGCTCATTTGGTACTGCTATATGCTCATTTTAAAATGATGCTCATATCAAATATAACGCCCGGACGGATATGAGAGCTAGACTACCTGATTCAGCCATATGGAAAAGCATTTGTAACATCCATGAGCAGGGTATTGAATTGGTTGATATTCAGAATGATTGCACTGTTTGGATGCCTTCCCGGGATGGTAATTTTTCTCTGACTTCTGCATACAACGAAGTAAGGAACATACAGTCAGTTACCTTCTCTAATCAGCATATTTGGCATCCTAAACAATTTCTCCCTATAAAGATGTTCATGTGGAGACTCTTTCAAAACAACCTTCCACTGCCTATCAACCTATGTAGGTTCAGTTGTGAACAGATGAAACCCATTTGGGTTTATGGGCCTTTTTCTGATTCCAATCCCTAATTGGGAGGTTTCATTTCAGGAAATATGTTTTTCATGGTGGCTAGAGGCTGGCAGTAAAACTATTATGGACATATATAAGCATGTTCTCCCCAGTATCATTTTATGGCATATATGGAAAGCTTTTGCTTCACTCACTTGGGATAATAGTCCCTCTATTTTTTGCCAGGGAACCCTTATGAATTTAATTAAGCAATATATATACCACTGGTCATCTGGTATGAAATTTCCTAAATTGAGTAGGGTTCCTAGTTACATCACAGAAGAAGGTTTGTTTCCAGTTCACAAACAGACTAATGGACCTATTTTTCTCAGAATCAACTGGAGGAAACCGAAAGATACCTTAAAATTGAATGTGGATGCATCTATCAATCGGCAACTCGCATCTGGTGGGGCTGTTCTTCGTGACGCTAATGGCTATCTCATCTTTGCTGGCTCATTCCCCCTCCATGCCAGTTCAGTTCTTGCAGCTGAATTAAAAGCAATTTTTGTGGATGTGCACTGGTTGGCTATTTCTGGATATGTTGGCATTGAGGTTGAATTCAATTCATTAGCAGCAATTACTCTTCTCCGACAGAACTCTACCTCTGCTTCATATCGATTTCTCACACGCCCCATCCAAATGCTTGCTTCTGAGAGACGTTTTTCCTTTCACCATTGCTTCAGGCAAGCAAATGAAGCGGCTCATCTCCTGGCCCAGGTTTCCTTCTCATCTCGCACCCCAAAAATTTTCACCCAAGCCTCTGATCTGCCGATTTGTGTTCGTGGAGCTCTGAATTAGGATAGGGAAGGGTGTTCGAACGTCAGGGTTGTCTAATCTTTCTTGTAGCTTTCCTTTTTCTGTTTTGTTGTTTTTATTTGTTGCTTTCACTTTGTTGTCTTTGGGTTGGGCCTTCTCGCCCCATTTAGTTATCTCTCTCATTTATTATTAGATGGAATGCCATCTCATTATTTGTATTTGAGGTATTTTTAATAAAATCTGGTAAATGTTCACCGGCATTTACCCCACCGATTTTGGTGGTTTCCCTACCAGGATAAAAAAAAAAATAACGCCCAAAATTAATGAGCATACACAAATGAACTTTTGAATTTTTTGATACTCATTTTGTAAATTATGTATACTTATTTGGTACTGTTTTATGCTCATTTTAAAATGATGCACATATCAATTACAACGCCCAAAATCAATGAGCATACACAAATGAGCTTTTAAATTTTTTGATACTCATTTTGTAAATTATGTATGTTCATTTGGTACCGCTTTATGCTCATTTTAAAATGATACACATATCAAGCATATCATATTACATTAGATTCATATATTAAAATTAATTATAAACATAATTTAAGAATTTTTTATAAACGAAAAAATAATAAAAAGAAACTGAATTAGAATATATGAAGCAGAGATCACTGATGCTCATTGTTAGGCTCCTAATACTCACAAGAACAGACTCGATGCTCATCCAAATTACATCAATGCTCATATAAAAGAAACCATGAACTTCATCAAAATTACAAAACTGTCACCGGCTGTACGGTGACAGCCGTACAGCCAACTGTATGGTATACATTTCCTGTTTAGATGGTACCCGAGTATATCCGTATATCGTTTGACGTCAATACTTTATATTTTGGGTCTGTTTAAAAAATTAGATAGTAGTCCACTAAGATTGAGATGGTCCAGAAGTATTACTCAGCTCACTTTTAATTATTGATGAGTTTGGTCCTTAAAGAGTTTGATAACACTTAAGCTAGAAAAATTGATTAATTGTACTAAAATTAATGAAATTCTGGCTCAATCAACACTTAAACTAGAAAAATTGACTAATTATACTAAAATTAATGAAATTCTGGCTGAATCAATTAAATTGGCCGAATATATTGAAATCACGAAGATGACAAAGTACGAATATATTGATTGAAACCACGAAGATGACAAAGTACCAATGTTGTATTTGAGGAAGTTTTTTGAAATTTATAAAACATTTATAACTTCAATCTCTTAATGCACTTTTACTCTGGAAATATTTAATTTCTTAATGTTTTTATCTAGATGTATATTTACGATTCATATTATCAAATTCCAAAAATTGAATTCTTATGTAAGAAATTATTAACTTACATGTATTACTTGTATCATTTACATACTTTTTTTCGAGAAATATATTTCCCGTGCATCGCCAGGTATAATACTATTTTGTTTATATAGTAAAAGAGACTTACTCAGCATAGATAAAAACAAAATAAACTATTAAAAAACTTCTAACTTTGAGAAAGCTATTCTTTAAGAAAGAAAAGAACATCTAAATATTTTACCAAACACTCGAGAACTTGGTGGAGAGATTAGGGAAAGAATCTGAGATATAGATATCGAAGATGGAGAAGTATGACGGCAGTGCTGCTGCGGTGATGACTGTTGACGGCAGCATGAAATCTCTCGGATCAGGGATGTCGGCGATGGAATCTTTCGAGAAGCTTGAGAAAGTAGGTGAAGGGACATATGGATGCAAAATATATCTGCATTGCTCTGAAGCTATGTTTGTGTACATTGGATGAGTTGATCACGGGAAGAAAAATGTAGGAATTGACACGGCCAAGCTGAGGAAGAAAGAATATTATCGTTCTAGTACATTGTTGGGCATTATGAGGTTTTTTTTTAATTATTTATTTTTCATTTTTCGAACACAGTAAACTAACATGTTTCTATATTGTCACTTGCGGAGAAATTATTTGTGGATTAGGTCATTCACACAAATTGGGTATATACATAGGAACCTAAATCCAAAAAAACATTCTTATAAAATAAGAAGATGACCATTGGTTTGCTAAAGTTTCTGATATGGGTATGTCAAGCGACTACATTAATTGTGGTTTGATGATTAATTATTTCTTGTAACAAATAAGTGGATTAAAATAAAGTCAAATTTACTTACAACAGAATGTCTAAGTATTGAATTTTATACACATAAATTTTCATTGATAAGTGAAATCAAATCCATTGTTGTTGTAATTGTGCTACTAATTTGTTATCAATTAACATCGTAGTTTCTTACCAGAAAATATATATCGTGTGTAGTTTTTAATTATTATATTATATTGTTTATGTAACTGGTGGACAAAGTGGTATCGTAATTTTTAAGGCTCCTGAGCAAATACTTGGAAATGATCGTATTTCACATGTTGCTGATATGTTGAACTTAGGTTGCATCTTTTTTTTCTGCATAACTAAGATTAAGCATCCTTTCGTGGATTCTGCGTGTGAAGAGAATATATTGGGAAATGATAAAGCTAATCTCTTAATGATATATCGGATGGCTTCCCTGAAGCATATGATATAAGTGGACGACTCTCAAGTCCAGAAGCAATTCACAGGTAATATCTTTTTGTCGTACATTTCTTTCTTTTTTTCTTTTTCTTATTTGTTTAAATTATAGTTTTTATTATAATGCTAGGCTTACTATTGAAGAAGTTAAAAATCAGTCTTTCTTGTGGGAGTCTAGCACTCGGATCCAATTTTTTAAAGCTGTTTCTGACAAGTTTGAATCTGAGAAGAAACTGACTTGGAAACACGTGAACTGCTTGGTATGTTGGAAAGTATTAAGATTAATGTATTTGGAAAACGTTGGGACAATAAGTTGGATTCTCCCTTTGTGTACTACATCAACTCTGGCGTGCATGTGCGTTATGACTATGAGAAAGTGTACGACATTTTAAGGTTAATAAGAAACAAGTTGCATCACCAAGGGAACTTTCAGAAGATGTTAGAAATTTGATGTCACAATCAGTGATTCTAGGAATCGAATAATACTTTACAACAAAATTTTGAAATCTTCTATTTGAAGTTTACAAGACAATTTGTAAATTTTGTCCAGATGATGTTGGATTTCGACAATACATTTCGGGAAATTCATTTGAGTAATTAGTTGGCTTTTTGTGTCTCTATCAAAACAAGTTGGCTTACGCCAATATACGTTTAATACTTTTACTAGTAAACGAGAAGTTGCCTATGTTTGACAAGAGACACAAAAAAACGAACTAATTACTCAAATGAATTTCTAGAAACGTATTGTCATAATCCAATATCATATGGACAAGAATTACAAATTATCTTGTAAATTTCGTTGAAAAGTATTCTTTGATTCTTAGAATCACCGTTTGTGACATCAAATTTCTAACAGCTTTTAGAAGTTCCCTCTAGTGATGCGACATGTTTCTTATTAAGCTTAACAAGTCGTACATTTTCTCATAGTCATAGCACATATGCACACCAGAGTTAGGGAGTGTTTGCAATTGCTTCAACTTTAAAAAAGTGATTTTTTAAAGTGATTTTGGGAAAAGTGATTAATAGTAAAAGTTGGTAGTGTTTGAGAAAAAAGTGATTCTGAAAAAGTAAAAGTTGGTAGTGTTTGGTAAAATAAGTACTTTTTGTGTAATAGAAAAAGTGAAAAGCAGTTTAAAGCACCCTTCCACCTGCTTCCAGCTTTTAGCTTTTAAGTGATTAATTTAAGCAGAAGCTGTCATTTGAAAACACTCTTTTTAGCTTTTTTTAAAGTCAAAAGCTGAAAAGCACTTTTTTTAAGCAACCGCAAACACTCCTTTAATGTAGTTCACAAAGGGAGAATCCAACTTGTTGTCCCAGCGTCTCTCAAATACATTATTCTTGATACTTTCTAACATACCAAGCAGTTTAGATGTCCTTCCTTCCAAGTTGGTATTCTTCTTCTCAGATTTAAACTTATCAGAAGTATATTTAAAAAATTGGATTCGAGTGCTAGACTCCCACAAGAAAAGGTTGATTTTTAACTTCTTCAATAGTAGGTCTAACGTTATAATAAAAACTATAATTTAAACAAAAAAAAGAAAAGAAAAAGAAAAAAAAAAGATACGACAAAAAGATATTACCTGTAAACTGCTTCTGGATTTAAGAGTCGTCCAAATTCATATGCTTCAGGGAAGTCATGGGATATCATAGAAATTAGCTTTATCATTTCCCAATGTACTTTTGTTCCACACAAAATCCACGAAAGCATGCTTGCCCTTTAATTAGTTATGCAGGAAAAAAAGGATGCAACTTATACTAATCATATCAGCAGCAGGTGAAATACGATCACTTACAAGTATTTGCCCAAGAGTCTTATAAATTACGATTCCACTTTGTCCATCAGCTACATAAACAATATAATATAATAATTAAAAGCTACACATGTAACGCACCAAACCCCCTCGTGATATAAAAAATCAACGCATTAGCCCTCTATGATTTGAAAAATACGTCAAACCCCCTTGTGTTTAGATTAATCATGCACAGAACCTCTTTTATGAATAAATTTAACGATTTGGAAATCACTTTTCCTAATATTTTGATTGAATATGCAAGTAAATATGTCAAAATCTCTCAATCAAACAAAAATGTTAATCATTTTTCTTTTATTTGACAATTGAATTTGTTCACAGAAGAGATTTGGCGCATAATTAATTAAAACGCAAGGGGGTTTGACGCATTTCGTAAATCACAAAAGGATAATGCACCAAATTTCCATATCACAGAGGGGTTTGATGCATTAAACCCTATATTTTTTATAAGAAACAAAGATGTTAATTGACAACAAATCAGTAGCACAATTACAACAATGAATTTGATTTCACTTATAAATGGAAATTTGCGTGTATAAAAATTCAATACTTAGACATTCTGTTGTAAGTAAATTTGACTTTATTTTAATCCGCCTATTTGTTACAAGAAATAATTAATTATTAAAGCATAATTAATGTAGTTGATATAGAAATAAACTTATTGGGAGAAAGAGATAACTCAACACAAGACTTTATACTATTCGTTTCAGAAGATGGACCTACACGTACCACTTCGCCATACCCATATCAGAAATTTTCGCACACAAATGGTCATCTTGTTTTATAAGAATATTATTTGGATTTAGGTCCTTATGTATATACCGAAGTTTGTGTAAATGACCTAATCCGCAAATAATGTCTCTGCAAGTGACAGTAGAGAAACATTTTAGTTTATTGTGTTAGAAAAATATAAAAATAAATAATTAAAAATAACAAACCTCATAATGCCCAACTGGAAGGATAATAATCTTTCATCATCAGCTTGGCCGTGTCAATTTCTGCATTTTTTTATCGTGATCACCTCATCCAATGTACACGAACATAGATCGAGAGCAACGTAGATATATTCCGCATCTGCTTCTATTCCATAGCACGTCACTACATTTTCATGTGAATCAGCACCAGCTTCCACTAGACTTTGCACCTCTTTTGTATTAATTTCAACCTTATCTATTGGATTAGTATCAGCTCCCTTTGTCAGAAATAGGCATTTCATAGCAACTTTACGACCATCATATATTCCTTCGCACACTCTGTTTGTCATGTCGACACCAAGGAGTTTGTCATAATAAATAATCATCTTTTCTTACCACCAACATGAGTAGGTCTCCAATCACCCAATAATAAAATTAAAAATTCATTAACTAAAACTACAGAACTATTAAACACATGATGTAAAATATGGAAACAAATAAACTGGACTTACAATTGGTGAGGATGAATGGCATGTCCATCTTCAGAAGCACTCACTGGCATCAAATTAATCTAGGCCAGGATCACAATGGCTGATGGAAAGTAGGAAATAAATCAATAGAAAATTGTAATACTGGAAGAAAACTAATGTTAAGATAAATGACGAAATAAACCTTTGACTAAAAAGTCTCCATAAATATGAATCCTCTGGGAAGTTCAACTTTTCTGGGATTTAGAAGGCTGTCATTGTAAGCTTCTTTACTTCATCAATTATTTCACACTTAACAGACTCTCTATCTCCAATTTCTAATTTCTTGCCCGCTCTGCACATCATAATGTCAAATTAACGTTCTTGAAAAATAAATTAATGCAAATCCCAAAAAACGAGAATTACAATAATGACAACTAAGACGAGCATTCCCTCAGCTGGTATCTTATATTGAAAACAGCTTACCATTTCATCGAGATTTGAAAGTTTTCTATGCCCTACTAATTTGGGTTCACTCTAATTTCAATTGACTAAATTGATAAAATATTAAATAGAATCACTCACTTTAGCACGGATACCATTGCTACTTGCAGGGAACTCTGTGTCTAAATTTCGTCCAAGATTCCACAACTTTTATCAACAAATGCTGATACGGAATGTGTTGCATCTTCCCAATCACCTGATTCTATTAGATGTTCAAAATAACTCATGTTGAAAATTCCAGATTCTTTTTCCAACCTTAAATACACAAAATATTAGACCATCAATCAGCTATTTCAAAGAGGGGGGAAATAATAATTATAATGATGATGATGATGATGATAGCGAGAGAGAAGAAAGAAAGAGGGAGAAGGGGAGAGAGAGAGTTACTTAAGAATGTTAAAAGTTCAATTCCTTAAGTGTGACGGGATTCTGTAAATCCTATTTTGTGGAAATACTCTAGGTACGATCGCATCATCTTCTCAGGGATAGTTTTCTTCTCATGGATAACATTCTTCTCAAGTGTTTGTTCATCTCTATCTCCATCTATATCTCCAGATGTCTGTTCATCTAAAGTATCCTCTCGGAGCAAAAGATGATCTCCATTTTTTTGACCACGTTTAACATGCCCAACAGTCTCAAAGTGTGACCTTTCTGGGGGAGACATTTTTGAAGTTGTATGAACCTTGGAAAAGAAAATGACCAAGATTGCAAGTATTTTCAGACAATGATTGAACAATAACCAAAATAGATTGACATATTCACGATATTAAGGCAATAACAACATTCCATATGCACGACACAAGCATTGTATGTGTGAAAGGTACACAACATTATTGGAAACAAATTGAAAACAAGGACAGACATTATAAAGTTCAAAATTGACAAGAAATTAAAAACTAACCTAATTTTCTCATCGATAGCTTTCTTCACAAGTGTTTGTTCATCTCTATCATATATATCTCCATCTCTATCTCTAGATGTTTGTTCATTTGTAGTATGCAAATGATGATCTCTGTTTTTCTGTACCTCTCTGGAATTGTTTTTGACGGAAGGAATAAAACGTTGATAGAACTCTCAAAGGTATGTAGAAATTTATAGAAAAGATGGAATAGAATTCAAAAAATAACTCAAAACTTTCATTAATGGTGAAAGTCAATACAACCGAAGCCCAAAGAAAGAGACAATGTATCTTTATTCTTTCCAGTCAGTAATTTCAACTAAATAATCCGTACCAACCATGAGTTAATCAGTCCCGAAATGGGCATATAGTTGCCTGAAGCTTTTTTCAAGTAACTGGTGTAATCAGAAGGTGCACAGTGGGAGCTGTCCGAGTTAACGGCTCATGTTTTTCAGAACAGGAGGGTAGGCTGCCATTTTTTTGAATCGGAGAGAGCTGGAGAGAGCTTTACTTGCACCAATGAACATATTAGAAAGAGAGAGATAGAGAGCTTATCCATGTCTTCATGGAAGATTGGAATCGTGTACTTCCGCAGAAACAACTCCTAATTGGGAGTCGGAGAAGGCGATTGAATTCAGAGAAGTTACGGACTATAAAAGATTTTTTGGATTTTTTGATCGACGGTTCTTACACGAAATTGAGGTGGTGGTAGTGATGAAGCTTAGATGAGGAGCATTAATAAATAATAATGGGTCTTTCTAGAGTTAATGTTTGAAGAAAAGGTTTAACCAAATCACGTTAATTGTTCCTAGAATTAACAAGCAACATCTATTGTTTGTTAATTTTGTTTTCAACTTCTTACAAGGAAATTCTTTTTTATTCGAATTTCGTTCCATTATATTCAGTAAAGTTTCATAATCCATAGGTTTTGCACACTCACTTATATTGGATAATGATCAAATTGGACACTCACTTATATTGAATTATGAAACTTTAGTGTCTAATATGAGATACATATGAAACCATAGTGTCTAATTTGGTTCATTTAAAACCTTAGTGTCAAATATGAGATTCTGATGAAACCATGGTGTCCAATTTGAGCATTATCCCTTTCAAAGAATGTTAAAGATGTTATCCACTGAGGAAGACAACATGGGGCTCGTGATTGCGGCTGACCCGATCAAAAATGAGGGTGGTGTTACGAAAGGCTATAATATAGCGGCAGTGGTCAGAGTGGTATCTGATAAACCGGTCTTTGCTGTTTCTTTCTGTCAAACATTGTCTATGGTATGGAGACCTGTGAAAGGGGTATCGATTGATGAGATTGAGGACTCAAAATTTCTATTACAGTTCTATCATGAGAGAGATTTGCACAGAGTTGTGGATGAAGGGTCGTGGTCTTTTGAGTAGAACCTGGTGCTTATAAGGCGGCTGGAGTGCACCGACAAACCGCGGGAGGTGGCTTTAGACCACGCAGACTTTTGGGTCCAGGTACATGATTTACCACTCAGCTACATGACACCAAAGGCAGCGCGCAGCATAGCCAACAGTATAGGCTCATTTGTGCAATTGGACGAGATCTCTTCTGGAGGAAAACAAAGATTGGTTACTACGGCTTTAGTCCAACGCCTACAGGTCAGATAGGAAGGAGACAGATGGATTTGGGCAAATTTTAAATATGAAAGACTTCCAAACTTCTGCTTCATGTGTGGGATCATAGGCCATGCTGACCGTTTCTGCCCGTTTAATCCTCATAGCGGGCTGGGGATAGGAGAGAAACTGTATGGGCCGTGGCTGAGAGCTGATATGAGACGTGTAGGAATGCATCCGGGGAACAAATGACTCATTCTTAGCAACAATAAACAGGGCGATAGTAAAGGAAAAATTGTGGAGGATGACAAAGAAATAAGGGGTCAGGATAGTTATCTGGTGGAGGGCCTTCTATTGAATGGTAAGGAGACTGCTACACCTAGAAATGCACCTAGGAAACGTCGGGACACAGAGACTGATAGCGAGGTGGAACACAGGCGAATATGGATGTTGATGATGCGGCTTCAAAAAACTCGGAGATGGCGGTGCTAACAGGGCAGCACCGCCAGTAGCAGATAAGGGCGAGGTTCTGAAGGCTTTTCCTTTAGCGGAGGCTGGTCAAACCACTGCTCCATTGCCAGTGGCTGGTCAAGTTGGATTATGTTATTTTCTTATTTTTTATTCTGTTAAGAACATTGCTATGTTTTTTATTTCTCCTTCTAGTAGCAGGTGCAACATTGTTGCATATGGAGTCTACCACGTTGCGGGGTTAGTGAGATGGTCTACTTGTATGCGGGAATCCAGCTCAGAGTCTAACCCCAGTGTAGCCTTCGTTATGGCAACTTTATATCTGACCCTCAGTTCTATTAATTATTAAGTTATCTGTTTAAAACGAAAAAAGAAAAATGCAAACTAATACATATTTTGTCAGTGAATAAAACTTATAGGTAAAAAGAAAATCTGGCCTCTACAAAAATGAGGATGTAAAAATGGACATCAAAGTAGTTACAAACATTATTTTTCTTTTTTTGATTGAATTCACTGAAATGTTATTAATAAATACTTAGTATATTTCTTAATTTTATTAATAAATACTCCGAATATATTAAATTTTAAAAACAACTGTTTAATAATTAAGTAGATTCAATTAATTAAATTATTTCAATCAGAATTTTATTAATTTCAAACATTCAATCAATTTCAATGTTACTAAACGAACTCATATATAGATTGGCAAATTTGGTACTGAGAAGCCATTCAATTCGCCAAAAGATATTTTTATCATAAAAGCCTTTGCAAATATCGAGAAAAATGGGAATAGGTATTCAATAGTTTTTTAATTGAAAAGAGGTGTTCACATAGTTATACAAACTCGACAAACTCGACCGTGGGTTCTAGAATTTGACATAAAGTCATCAATCATTAAAAAAAAATACACGGGACATTCACATCCACGAGATTTTCGAGGATCATTTTGACGATGTGGAAGATCTTTTTTGAGATTATGATTGAGGAGAGATGAGATAAAGCTTGGCTCTTCTGGGTATAACCTAGTCACGTTTCACAACCTTGAAAGGACCGCCTCCATTCTCTCTTATAAAATACAGGCAGATTTAGTTTTGACACGTGCGAGAGTACATAATTTTCTTCACAGTGAATACCGATATGATGAATTTCTTTTGGGCTCGGAAGAAGAGTCACCTAGCGAAATGAGGATTGATGGATAATAGGGTATCCAATCTATAATAATAAGAGAGATTGAGCTCAAATGGAGAGGAAGAAGGTGATGAATAATAGTACTCGCATTAAATGTGTGTTGTATTCTATGAACTTAGGTTTACAAGACCTCTCATGGGGAGTATAAATAGAGAAACAATGGACTGGACCGCTGATATGGGCTCGATAGGCCCAACTACATAAAAGACTAATCTAGTACATACAAATGATATATAAAATGTACAATAATACAAATGACATTCGATAAGCATGTGTGGGCCGCTGTCCAGACTCAATAGTCGTGAGACCCAGGGGTCCGAGTCTATATACTCTCCCATTCCCTGAGTCGAGAGTATTTGAGGCGAAATGGAGTAGAATTGTGTGCTAATCTGTCGTCGTCGGGTGAGTAAACTTCGTGAGAAATTTTGATTTTGTGCTTCTTTGATTAACGGAGGCGCTAAGTCCACCACTTTTCCAATCCCCCACTCATTGAGGTGAATGTAGTGAGGTGAGAAGGAGTAAAATAGTGCATGTCTCGTGATGTCTTCAATAAGGGTTGAGGGTCGACGCCTTTTATCCACAATGGGGAGATGTCTCATTAAAAACCTCACTAGGAAAAACCATGTGGGAAAAAATCCTAATGAGGGAGAAATAGTACACCAGATGCCCCCAAAATGAAGCAAAAGGGTGAGCCCTTCGATCTAGACATGGATCTGCAACAGCTGCGATCTGCTGAGAGGATGGCCAAGACCGGTCTTCGCACGTGAGTAACTCGGCATGATATATAGTTTTAGTTATCAAATAAAGATGACTAAGAGATAGGTTGATCGACCGTCCATAATATGAAGTCCAAGTAATCAAATAAAGATGGCCAAAAGAGAAGGCTAAGAGGCCGATATAATGCCATCATTTATTTCCTCCTATCCATTCAAATAAAATTGTTACAATTTCTTGAGCTTAAGCTAGATTTCTATCCTTAGTTGGAGCATGGCATGTGCCTAATTTAGAGTATTACTCATTAGTGGGCGCACATAACTCATACAGAACATAGAAACTAGAGTATGGACTTAAATAATAAACTAATAATGATCATTCATCATCATTTTCATTTACCCCAGTGCCGCAAAGGCTTCCCACCTACGGTGGGGTAAGGAGGGTGGGGGTCGGATGTACGCAGTCTTACCCTTGTACTAAAGTACAGAGAGACTGTTTCCGGATGACCCATAGTGAAAATCGCGTCCAAAATTGCATGGGCTGACTGCTGCTTCATAACAAAGAAGCGCAGACAGTTTAGTGAGCCATTTTGTTTTATTCCATCATATTTTCAAGCCAAAAAATAATGAATCTTTGGTTCCATTCCAAATGATGGAAAAATAAATTAATAATGATAATAAATTAATAATATAACTCAACTTGCCACTCAAGTTTGTAATTCGAATCCGACGCGCGCTTTTAGGGGTCTTTTAATGGATGCCTCGCCCCTAAAGATTGAAGTTTGATGGTATATTATTAATTTTTCAGCTTTATGAATTTCTTTAAATCTTTAAAAGTAATGATAATAAATTAATATTCTAGTTCAACTTGTCACTCAAGTTCGTAGTACGAATCCGCCAGACATGCGCATTTAAGGGTCTTTTAACGAATGGTTCGCCCCTCAAGACTGAAGTTTGATACTCCTTGAGTATTTTGGTGTTGTTACAATAGGTAATGACACATTTTTTAAGAGTGAGAATAGTATGGATAATGAATAGTGTATAAAAAATAGGAGAGATGGTGGAAAAGTATGAAAAAGAAGATAAGAAGTAGAAAAAGTAAAAAAGTAAAGGTAGTTGAGTATTTTTAAAGGAAAAAACTTACCAAAAAAAAGAAAGTGTACCAAAGTTTTGAATACATCCAAAAAGGTAGGTGTAGGAAACAAAAAAATACAGAGGGAGTACTATATTACTTCCTCCGTCCCGAAAAGGTTGGTCAAAATTGTCAAAATAAATAGGCTCTAACCTGTTACAACCTGGTATTGCAGGTCATTCTTAAATGTGAATTATGTGTAAACTCTAAATAATTCAAACTCTAGTTGATCTTTTTTTTAATAATCCCAACTATCAACTCTCAATTTTTGAAGATTTAAAAATATTTTTATAAATTTCCAAACTAAATATTTTTAAACATGTATAAACAAATACAAAAATTATACAAATGTACCGAAGTTAAACAAAATATTTATAGTCATTGTTTTATTTATTTCCAGTAATTGTTTTTCCTTTATTCCGGTTTTTTTATAGTTGTGTTACCAATTTATGATTTTGTATTATTTTCCTTTATTTAAAATTACACTGTTTTCAAAAAGTAAATATTGATTAGATTTGTTGATCTATTTTATGCCATCTTAATTCTAAAAACCTAAATGTTCCAATTTTCCATTTTGGTATTTCTAGTTTCTTTCTATTTTCTTTATTTTATACTA